AAAGGTGCTACTACAGAAATTTTGCTCTTCCTGGCAACAGGGTAATTCTTTAGCAGCTCTGTTAAAATCACCACTGTGATGCCACAATATCAGAACACTGAGCAAAAGGAAAGGAAGAAGAAAACCTGAAATTCAACACTTCTATTGACGTACCCTCAAAACTGGCATTTTTAATTCTAGTATTGACTGCCTATATTGGAACCCCCAACTTTGTTTCCTTGACCTGTTTATATGTATAGAATTAATTTTTTTCCTTCTACTTTGTCCTCCCCCTGTATTATTGTATCAGGAATAGTGTGGCCAGCAGGACTTGGGAAGTGATTGTCCCCCCCTGTATTCGGCACTGGTGAGGCTGCACCTCAAATACTGTGTTCAGTTTTGGGCCCCTCACTACAGGAAAGACACTGAGATGCTGGAGTGTGCCCAGAAAAGGGCAACAAAGCTGGCGAGAGGTCTAGAGCACAGGTCTTATGAGGAGCAGCTGAGGGAACTGGGGTTGTATAGCTTGGAGAAAAGGAGGCTGAGGGGAGACCTTATTGCCCTCTTACGATTGCCTGATCAGGAGGCTGTAGCGAGGTGGAGTTCAGCCTCTTCTCCCAAGTAACAAGCGATAAGATGAGACGAAATGGCCTCAAGTTGCACCAGGGGAGGTTTAGATTAGATATTAGGAAAAAATTTTTCACCAAAAGTGTTGTCGAGCATTGGAACGGGCGGGCTGCCCAGGGAAGTGGTTGAGTCCCCATCCCTGGAGGTCTTTAAAAGACGGGTAGAGGTGGTGCTTAGGGACATGGTTTAGTGGTGGACTTGGCAGTGTTAGTGTAACGGCTGGACTTGATGATCTTAAAGGTCTTTTCCAACCCAAACGATTCTATGATTCTATTTTGAAACTGATTTTTTTGTCACATCAACTTTTGACTATGTATCCCAGATCAAAGTCCTCAGAATTAAACTCTCCATCTCCAAGAACACCGTGCTGGTGATGGTACTGCAAGTGCTTTATTGAACAGAACTATTGCCAGCTACTGAGATATTTCAAAAGGGAGGAAAAAAAGAGATCTTTTAAGTTTTGCTAAAAGCCACAGGTCGGTCTGTCTCTGAAGCCCACTCAGCACCTTGTAGTATCAGTCCTCAAATTATTACTACTTGGGATAGGCAAGTTTTGAAAGCTGTCCCGCTGAAGCTCAAGCTAGAGTCACAGTTAAGAATGGCTCCCTTACGATGAAAGTGGAGAGGCCAAAATACAGGAATAAAGTCTCATTCTGACATGTTAGGCTCATTCTCCTAGCAGTAATTAACAACTCTTAGAACTTACCTGTCTACAGCTTCTTTAAAGTGTCCTGTATCCATGCCAACTTTCTCTGAAGTCACTGAGAACCAAACCAGATGGAAAATTTACCCTGATGTATACTTTACCACAGTATGGATCAGTACTGCCTTTAATCGCAGTATCCCCTGCACTGAAAAGGGGGAATACGTCAAGTATTTTGATAAATATAGCTACTACGCATGGCAAATATCAAGATTTTAATGACACTCACTTTTCAGTGCTTTCCATCTTCAAAGGACTTCCCATTGGTTGACATACTTTAGAGTAATGACTATTCAAAACTGCCCTGTGAGGTAAGTGCTCAAATGTATAAAGTTATTTTCTGGCTTTCTTCTCTCCCTTGAGTTCTTTGCCCCAAACCTCTTGGAATGGGGGCTGTATTCAATCACTGCTGCATAGTCCTGGCATGTTAAAAGCTGTTTCATGACAACATGGTTAGCAGGTAGGTAGTTTTGCTGCTTGATTTGTCCAGCATCTTACTGTAAGTGAAACAACTGGCTCAGCCTCCAGGCTTGGCAGGGTAGATGCGCGTCTGCCATTGTTAAGGCCTCATTCTTCCCTCTGAGTGTCATACTCCTAAGACTTCAGTGGAAGCCAGAAGCAGAATAAAGGTTTTGCATTTTGACTACAGAGTTAGTTTATCTCTCACCACTTGCATCTTGCTTTGCTGTTCTTAAATGCCATACTCCATTCCGTAATTCTTTCTTTTAATCCAGCCTTCAAGAATGTATTTCATAGCAGTTCCCATCTATGGGATAATTACACTTAGTTAGCTGTACTCAACAGTGATGATTTCATAATATGCCACAAACAGGTGCCCATTAAATTCCTTTATTGGAGACAGAAACATTGCATAATTACAGATTCGATGAGGAAAACTGCAAATGGTATAGACTGTTTCTACTGCCAGCAAAATACAGTTATTACAGGTTTTATAGACATACAAATATAAAGTGTTTCTTTCATGCCAGATGGTCTGTACGTAACAATGCCATTAGGAGAGCTTAATTGTGCTTCTACAAAACCTTTAGAGAAGAATGAGGTAGAGTTTCCTTTAGTTTATCCAGTATTTTTTCACACATCTGTCCTTTACTGCTTTTATAAGCTCAGATCCTTGTAAAATACCCAGTTAACTTTAATGTTTGAGAAAACAGAGACCCTTCAGAGGTGTTTACTTCTCCCTCTTTAAGTTGCTAATTTCCCACTGCTTATATGCTGCAATTCTAATAACTGCTACTGCACCCTTCTAAATGCCTCGAAGGTCAGGTAGGTTGGGACATCTGTCTTTCCAAATTTACCGCTTTGACAGAAATTGTTAGCAAATAGCTTCAGATAAAACTCTTACTTGTCTCTATCATGGCAAAGAATCTCTTACATTCTGTCACTCTCTACTATAGTGGCCAAGCCATCTCTCCAGGAGATGGAGGGAACGTTTACTCTTTGTCAACATCCTCTACTATGGAATAGCGTTGATGATATATTTTTCTCCTACTTGCAGTTCTAGTCATCTACCGGGCTGTTAGAAAAATAATATAAATTATGGGAATGGAATAGGCCACTGACCTGTAGAAAAGAGTTTCTCACCGTTAGATGATCTGGAGCATTACCTGTTGGTTTTGATCTAGTATTTTACTGTTTCACAACATACAAAAGTGTGTTGCAGGTTTCAGTTAAGATACTAGGGCCCAAGTTATGAAAATGTAGGCACAGATGTAGGTATTTAAGCAACTGAGTAAGAGCATTCTTCAATAGCAATAGCAATCTACCATCCTGCTAGACATTTGGTATTCCTCAGTAGTCTCTGTTTTGGGCTGAATGAGAATGGCAATGATGTTCTTCTGACCTCCTATCTTGACTGACTTGATGTGTAATTTTACTCTCATTCCTTAGCATGCCTGTTACAGAAACAGAAGACTTTTCACTTTACTTTTTGCTCTGGCATTTGTTACAAGCACTTAGTACTTACTAAAAACCGGAGAGTGTGCCACTAGGGTACAGTAGAGAAAAAACCTGTTATTTCACCTGAAGAGGTCACAATTCTAGCAGTGACCAAATCATACTGAAGAGGGATTTGGCATACAGGACGAAGGTGATTACATAAAGAATGTTTGCTTTCTTCTCATAACCTACTGAGACATGATTAAGTTAACAGTTCAGTGATACTGTACCAGAATTCTAAAATGAAAAGCAAAATTTTTATAAAAAGGTGAAAAATTTAAAAGATTCCATGTTCATATCTCGATCACTTTGACCACAACATGAAACAAAATCTGTTGCTGCAAGATAGTACCGCCTGAGATAACTTCTGAGCTCCTCCATCTCACACTTAAATGACTGCTCCAAGCCTGACAGAATAAAGTCCTATAAAAAGTTAGCATTATTAAGAGAACCAGCTCTTAGAAACTTTCCCAACTCTTCCTTAGAAAAGAAAGGACTACACTTATTTTATCTACTATTCCCTGCATACCTCTTTGGTAAAAAACAAAAATGACCAGTGTTGGAAAACCATTTGGAACACTGTAGTTTATTACTTCCACAAAGTTGTCTTCTCTTTTTTCTACCTTAACTTTATCCAGCAGATATTTTAAAGACTTTAAAATTCTATATCAGGGTCTTAAATCCTCCTTAAGATCTTCCTATGAATACAAAATTTAAGATTCTTTTTCTCAAAGCATGGCATGAGAATTCAGAATTGTGGTAAAAATCAGACACAATAAGTTTTAAGATAAGCAAGCAGTATAAATTCATGTTCAGAGAGAGGGATGAGGATCTAGCCATGCTGTTATTGCCAGTGAATTTAAACATCATTAGTTTTAGTAGATTTAGGTGTGGTTAGCCTTGCTACTATGGTTAATGTGATTTATTTACCTCTGAGCTGCTAATTCCAAAATTTTTTTCCAAATCTAAGCCTTGACTATTCTAATTCAGTATTGTTCCACACCTGCTAAGCCCTAATGTACCTGACTGTTCTAGCTCAAGGTAATGGCTAAGTTAGTTTTGTTTATGGAGTTGGGGATATACTTGCCAACTGTGCTATAGATGGCACTCAGATTTTGCAGTCAGGGAAAATATCCTGGAATTCCCACTAATAACCATCATGCTTAAAGCAAGGCATAAACAGAAGGATTTCGACAACAGTATTTTTCAGCAATGCAATACCAGTACTCTCTTTTGCTATGACTAAAAATACAAATACTTATTAAGAAGTTACTTAGCTTAAATGATTTAGGACCTATGAATTATTTTTCCAAATCTTGAGGATAGTGACAAAATACAGTAAGACATAGCTGAACTACATATTTTACTTGTTTATGGGTTCATACAGCAAATCTTAAATATATTTCTCATTCAAATAACATTTTTCTCTTGCATAATCAAGATACTTATACTCTAAAGCAATTCTTGAAATACTGGACTTTACATGGCATCTTTCTCTGCTGCTTACAAAGCTTTCTGGAAAGCTTATTTGATCTGTAGTAAAACAACTTTTTATGCAAAACTTTGAATTTGAGTTAGAAGTGGCATAAGGGGTAGTACTACTACTCTGCACTTACAAAGAGGTTAGATAATTTGTCCAGGGTCACAAAGTCAGTGGCAGTCTGCTCAGGCATTACATGTGCAGGTAGTAAAGTGAAGTTCTGATCCCTGAACACCTGCAAGACGAACAAACCACTTTTTTTTAACTGTCACTACTGCTAAAAACAAAAAAGAATGCAAAATTTGCTTAAATGGTCACTTTTAGGTATGACACTAAGTAGCGTCATGATAGGAGGCTGGGGAAAAGGGGCTGCGAGTCTGCATGGAAGGGAGAGAAAGACAGCAAGGAACAGCCTACCTCAGGGCACATTCAGCCGTCATTTACACCTGCCCACCTCTCAGTATACAAGCCTGCCACTAGACCATTAAAACATCAGCAGGGTGAGTCTCATGCAGAGAGCCAACGTGCCACAGTATGGCAGGCTGTGCTAGCATCTCTGTATTCTGTTTCATAGCAAGGCGCTATCAACAGACAGTTCACACTATGCAATATGTTGAGATTATGCAGATTGTTTTGGAGAGGCCATTGAATTCAAGAGGGTTCCTCCTCTAATTAGGCAGCTATGAGATCAGTCCCAGCTGTTTTTCTGTCTACCTCCTTGGAAGACCATGTATTAGACAGACATTTCAAATAACTTGCAGTCCAAATGACTCTCTCAAATATCACATTTTTCCAAATTCTTCATGCCCGAGGAAAAATAAGTATAAAATAAAGTATACAGGTGAGGATCAACCATATCTCTCTGTTGAATTAGGTAAAACCTAGCCAAGAGTTTACCTAGAAAGAGGAGTGGAGGACAACTGCTTTTTTGCTTGAGATACTTGAACAGGTACAAACAATGGCTGGGCAGAGAGATCTCTCGCTATCTTGCTTTTGTCTTATCAGACTTCCCTTCTATATCCCAGAAAAATCATGTTTGCTTTGCACTGCTACAGACTGAACAGATTATCTACCCTAAGCAGGAACCTTTATTAGCATTCTAACCAGAGTCTGTCACTGTAAATTTGTGAATTTGCCCTCATTGCAGTTAAGAATCTAGTTAAGTAATGCCAGTTGCTGAAGCCGTAACTCTCGGCATCAGAAGAGCTTGTATGAAATGCCAGTTTCATGAAAAGTTCTCTCATTTGAAGGACTTCTTTCCTATGCATGAATTATGCTCACCAAATTGAAAATTAAGGACATGCTCAATACTGAAAATAATAATCAAAAGAATGAAGGGGAGAGAAAGAACATACGAAAATTAGAGTTCATTATTATCATTTTAAAGTACCAGTGTTTGTAAAACATAAGCATGTGAAAGGCTGAATCTCATTTGATCAACCCAATTAAACATTAAATAATTGCAGCCAATTATGCAAATATCACACAACAATATTAATTTGTTGATCTTTTTTGAACAGTCTCAAATTCTCCTAATGTTAGACTATCTTATTCCTTAAATGATCAATTAGCAGAACCATAACTAAGTGATGAAGAATGGATAATTGCCTAGTTATGATGTACCATACTCTTTCTACGCAAATCTGTTGCAATTAAACAAATAGGGCACATGGAGAAAAGATGTGCAGATGTTCTTTTACAATCTATTATTAGCTCAGGGATTTTTAGTTCCCTCCTAAATTTTACAGGCAAAAATAGGGAGAATGCAATACCAAATACTCACAATTATTTACACATATTATTTCTTTCCTTTGGTTAACAGGATAAAAAAGCAGTGGCAGAATGCAGGGTAGGATAGCATGCAACATCAGAAGAATTTCCTGTACTATACTGACCTGTCAGCTCCCTTATTCAGGTTTTAAAGTTTAAAATCTAGAACCTATTCACCTGGATCCCATTTGTAAACAAGCACAACTTTGAATTGACATAGCTAGAGAAAAGCGATTAACCAAGATGTTAAAGACAGCAGTTAACATACACACACTACATGTTTTCATTCTTCTCTGCTAGAAAAGCCTACACATTTCTGTGGGTCATTCCAGTCTCAACTCTTATCATGTTAAAGTCTCCATCAGCTAAAAAAGGTGCAGTAAAAGGAAAGGTGTCTCTGGCCAATGAAGGAAACAGTGCAAACCACAACAAACGAAACCGCCTGATTTCCTCACATTAAATTACTTACATCCAATTTAAGAAGAGTTTTACATAACTTTTAGGTTTACACTGCAGTAAAATAATTCTAACTGGTCCTTATTTATTCTGAGTAGTGAATAGATTACTGGTGGTATACTGACGCCTTCATGGGGATTTTTGATATATGGTACCTGTGAACTCTATCAACATCCTGAGATGTTAAGGCTTTGCCATGCATCTGAAGTTAGGTATTTCCACTTTTCCTTTTTTGCTGCTAAATCTAAGATGAATGTTAGGGGACAGATTAGACAGTTCAGTAGCAGGAAGCCGCATGTGGTTGCTTACTACATAATCTTTAGAGAGCTCCATGCCACACTCTAGTTAAAGGCACTCTTTAATTACAATACTTGTCTCATTGGATAAAACTCTCTACCCCACATTGCATCTTGACATATTCCCCATGTAAATTTTTCCACCCATCTAATTAAATAAAGACTACCAGCAGCTTATAATACATAGTAAGATACCGAACAAAGACCAGCACACAATACAGATTCAAATGGTCAGAAAAGCAGACATACAAGACTATTGCTACTGTAAGTGAAACATTTTGTGCTTGCAGTTGTATTCTAAAGAGAAAACTATCCAAGAAATTTTAACAATGCTTACATTGTCAGAGAGAACCTTCAACTGTTCTTCGTTAAAAGATCAGATTGGACTGCATTGAAAGACAGTAGAAGTCATGATTTGAGGGAGCAAAAGAAAGTGATGGCTAAGTAGGGGTTGTCTTTAACATCTGACCAAAAATGAACAGGAAAGCCATAAGGCTACTTTTTAGCAGTTGCATAAGGCATGGATGGTCTATTAGAAATTATATTTTGCCTTTCTTAAACTATATTAACAAATGCCAGTAACTACAAATGACTTACAAAGCATGGGAGAGATACTGTTGGGTCATAAAAAACATAAAGTGCTAAATATTTCCCTTAATACTGGTGCATCTCTGCTGCAAACTATGGCAATAAATGTTTCACTTTTACTTCTTACAGGACTCCATTATTGTCAGTGAAGTTCCACCAGTTTTACACTGAAGTAGCACTTTGGAACATTGATACAGAATATGGTGATCCTTTTTGGCAAGAGATATCTTAAAGCTGTTCAACAAAGCTGTGTGCAAAAAGAGAAAGCTAATAAATATTACAGTATGATTGTTAGTGAACATTTGCAGAAGTTATTTCCCTAACTATGGGCTACATGCTCTATGTTGCTTCCAAATAGTATCAAGACTGCATGTGAGATAGAAGCAGTATATAAAGAAGTATGTGCTTAATCAGAATGAAACCAGGGTTTGAATGAAATCTCTTTCCTTCTCGCACTAGATATTTTCTGTTGACAACATAGTTTGCTCCTTAATTGGAAGGCCCTATGGTCAATGGAGGCTGGATACATTTCACAGCGAGTGGTGAAGGGGACAAGAAAAACATTTTGCTGGTCTAAATTGTGTGACTGGGTGATGAAAGAAATTCCTCAATCCAAAGGTTTGGTTACTCTGAAGAGTGGTTTAACTTTCACAGCCACAGTTGTCTAATCTTATTTTCTAGACATTCACCTGGAAGGCAACACTGTGTCCGCAGCACCCAGCTCTGTGCTAGGCCAGACAAAGGGTAATTTTTTTTCTCAGCAGGGCCTAAGACCCAGCCCTGTAAATCACTTATGGAAGGATGTATTCAGCTGTTAGAGAGGTATGCACTGCCCACTAAGCCACTGCATATCCCTAGGGAGGGAAAGGCAGTAAGCCAACAGGGAGCACATTGCAGGCTAGATCGACTCAGGAGAATTTTGGCCTAAAGGAAAGTGCTGTTTTCTGACACAGTATGCATGAGAGGATCTAGAGGGCTATGCAAACTCAGGAAATCTCCCATACAAGCAGGGTATGAAAGGAAAGAGCACATGGCTAAACTTAATTGTTTCCCCGAACACAGAGCAAAAGGCAGAATAATGTCAACAGAACCCTGTGGCCAGCTAACAGGCAACGTCTTGCATGACAACGTGCTCTGCTGGTGATGGCAGTTAAAACAAAGCAAACTGAAGAGCAGTTGAAGAGCATTTTACAGGTTTTCAGACTGTACATAAGACAGAAGGAGGCACTAAGAAAACCATTAGGAAAGTTCTATTGCTAACATTTAGCACCTCTACCAAGAAGACAGGCTTCTACCAACTGGATTACAGTAGAAAACAAAATGATTGTGTTCACATTCACTGGATTGTGGAAACAATCATCCTGGGGAGCACATTGATACAGAAACTATGCTACACACAGGCAGCTACAGAAGTTGTCATTGTTAACATCTGTTCTGTCTGGAGGATCTGAAATCTTCCACCTTCATCACACCAGCACTGCCCAATCGCTGTCTTCTCTTCCATACTGAAATGAAGCAAAAATGGAGTTTAATCTTAAAAGTTAGAAGTAACAGTGCACAATTATGATAACTTCTTAGGTCTATCCTCAGAAAGATTCATATCCAACACCCTGAGAGTAGTTTACATTATTTCTTATGCCTCTAATTCTGTCTTTGATTTGAGCAAAGCCTAAAGGCAGCTTGAAGCTTTATTCATCTTCCAACAAGTAGACTAGGAAGAGGCAATACTGATACTCACTAGAGATGATACAGAATAATCCTGCTTCACTAGAGCTCTCCATCAATTTAATACAGTTATTCCCTCAAGTCAGTTCACTAATTCATTCGTAAGTATGCCCCTGCTCAAGCTCCAATAAACAAACACATTCGGTTTTATTTCTTTTTATTTTCAAGGTGGCTTTTTATTACAGCATTCTGATTGAATGTGAAATAAAACCCATCACAAATACCACAGAGTACAATTAGAGAGAATTGTAACCCAAATAAAACAAGTCATCTTTCCATATGCAAACCAAGAGGATCACCAGGCAGGAATGAAGGCAACCTACCACATGGAGCTGTATCCCTTCCAGGGGAGGATACAGTCCCAAGGCAGCACTTCTGGTGGTTAAACTGGCTCCATGTTCTAAAGCCCTTTGTCACCAGTCCTGTAAACAATGCTCCAGAGAGCCCCAAAAATGCACATAAGGCTCAAGTATATAAGTAAAGCAGAGGTGGACAGACTAGTGGCAGATGTATATTTGAAGCCCTTTCCCTCATAGTACCATGTTCAGAGACAACACGTGGTGAAAACACTTTTCACCAAGGAATAAAGACTGGTTTTAGAGGCTTTACATAGGCTGAAAATATCACTTGACAATAATTTCTCCAGAAAGGATAAAAGGAATTTCCTCCAATCTAGGTTCTCCATCAGCAGGA